TCTGCAGGATTTCCATGGATTTGGCAAAGGTTTTGGGCACGGACCTCTGATGGTTGCACAGCACGGCCACGGCGCGGTTGGCTCGGTTGTAGGAGAGGAGCTTCCCAGCAACGTTGTCTTCAGCTGGGAAGAAGCAGGAAAAGCATCACTAAGGGCTCTTCCCTGGGATTTAGGGAAGGCAGAACAGCAGCAGGTTGTCGGCCTTTCCCACCCCTTTCTCCAGGGAAGGGCGATAACTGGTGTGGGAATCGGTGAAGGACAACCCGACCATCACCGCCTGCTGCTGGGACTCGTCACTCACCCGCCCAAGGAGCTACAAATGGTGCAACCAACCAGCCAGACAAGGAAGAGGGAGACAAACAGTCCCATCTGGGCTCTAAATCAGTCAGAGTATCCCTGAGTTAAGCACTTCTCATCGTGGTTCCCAACCCGCTGCCCCCAAGTGTCGCAGCCCCATCAGTTCCGTACCACCCTACAAGGTGGGGCATCATCTGCCCCTAAGGAGGGGTGGACGGTTCTTGGGACCCCAGTGGACATCTCTGAGCCTGCTGGCCACCTGAAGACCCCCAAGAGTGCGTTAACTCACGGTTAGTGAGGGCCTTGAGCTGCTCCTGCAGGGTGATGGAGGCGTTGTAGGTCCGGAACACCTTGGCCGTCAAACCATCCATCAGGTGCTGGAGGTGTTTGTTCAGGAAGGTTGTCTGGGGGAAGGAAGGGAGAGGGGATAAAGTGTGTGTGTGTGTGGAAAGTCACAGCAGGAACTGGAGTGACAGGACAAGGGGGAATGGCTTCAAGCTGAAAGAGTAGGGTCTGATGGAATATTGGGAAGAAGTTCTTCCCTGGGAGGGTGGGGAAGGGCCTGGCACAGCTTGCCCAGAGAAGCTGTGACCCCTCCTTGCCCCAAATCCAGTTGTTTGTGGCAAATAGAAGACTCAGTTTGGGATTCAGTGCCATGCTCCACCCCTGGAAGTGTTCCAGGCCAGGTTGGATGGCTCTTGGAGCAATCTGGGACAGTGGAAGGTGTCCCTGCTCGTGGCAGGGTGGTTGGAACTGGGTGATCTTTCAGGTCCCTTCCAACCCAAACCATTCCATGGTTCTGTGAAAGAGAAGGAACTGAACCAGCAGAAGAACAGGACAACAAAGCTCTTGTTTCGCAGCCCCTCCCCTGCCCAAGAAACCAAATTAAAGAAAACATGAATTCCTGTAGTTTGTAGATCCACCTGTCGGGTCAGGCCACCACTGACCCCAAACTGGCACAAATTCCACCTAAAACCACAAAGCATCTCCCTGCAAGTCAACAACTTCTACCCAGCCATGTCCAAGAAGACACATCTTGGCAGGTGGGGACACAGTTTGGTGGTGAACGTGGCTGAGGGTTGGACTGGATGATCCTGGAGGTCCTTTCCAACCTTGATGATCCTGTGATATCACCCAGTATGCGATCTCACATCTGATCTACGTGTTGGGACCCCACACAGCCCACCCTGGGGGGCTCCACGTGGAGCAAACACCTCACAGGACCCCACCAGGGCCTTCAAACGGCACCAGTGGTGACTCTGAGGGTGGAACAACTAAAACTAGGGAAAGGGGTGGCGCTGATGAACCCCAAAGGCTGGCAGGGAGGAGGTCACAGGCTTGGTTCTTCCCCCACTCTGGGCCATCAGTGGTGTTTCAGAAGATCAGAGGTGAAAACTCACATTGAGGCTGTCGAAGAGGTCATCTGAGGGGTCTTTGTTCTTCATAAACAGCTGCAGGTTCTTGAAGACCTAAAGAGGGGGGCAGGAAAGGATGGTCTTGATGAGGGACAACAAGGAATTGTTTCCAGACATCTCCCTCACCTCTGTGTCCTCATCCAGATGGATTCAGATTCGCTCCCACTCTGTCACCAACATTCCCAACTCCAAGGGCTGCTCCTGGTGCCCCGACTGGTGCTGTTGCCTCAAATCTTTCCCACCTCTGACATTCTAATTTCCCCCCCAAACCACCATTAAAATCATCCATCCCTTGGGCATTTTTTAAATATTTTGAAATGTATAAATATTTACATATAAATATACATGAAATATAAATTTATATTGATGTGATTAAATAGAAGTGAAGACATGTCAAGTTCTGGTGCCCAGCAGAAAACTGAGGGTGCTCCAGGAAGAGCTTGGGACCTTTACTCCTCCCCCTCAAAAGAGGGGGGAATTCTCCCACCACCCTCTCAAAAAGAGGTAGGAATTCTCCCCCTACCCCCCCAAAAAAAGAGGGGGGAATTCTCCCCCCACCCCCCTAAAAAAGTGGTGGGAATTCTCCCCTCCCTCCAAAAAGAAGTGGGAATTCTTCCCCCACCTCCCCAAAACGAGGGAGGGAACTTCTCCCACCTCCCCAAAATGAGGGGGGGACCTTCTCCCACCTCCCCAAAACGAGGGGGGGACCTTCCCCCACCTCCCCAAAACGAGTGGGGGGACCTTCTCCCACCTCCCCAAAACGAGGGGGGGACCTTCTCCCACCTCCCCAAAACGAGGGGGGGACCTTCTCCCACCTCCCCAAAACGAGGGGGGGGGACCTTCCCCCACCACCCCAAAACGAGGGGGGGACCTTCCCCCACCACCCCCAAACGAGGGGGGGACCTTCTCCCCTCCCTGGGGCGGAACAACCTGGACAGCCCCACTCCCGAGTTCCTCCCTGTTCTCCGGGACAGGGAGAAAAGTTCCAAAGCACAAAGTTTTGGGACGCAGATTCGGGACCGACGGACGCACACCCGGCCCCGGCTCACCTGCTTCTCCACCGCCACCTTGTTGTAGTAGCGGATGGAATCCTTCCCGAGGAAATCCAGCTCCACCACGTGCTCCTGCCCGTCCAGCCGGCGGTGCAGCCGGACATGCTCCACGCGCAGGGAGCAGCAGCCGACTGTGTCCGCCGTCTCCCCTTCCTCCTTCTCGTTCCCGGCTCGCAGGGCCAGCTGGGAAGAAGGCAGGGAGGAATCATCCACCCCCATCCTCATCGCATCCCACCTCGGTTCCAGCTTCCCGAGGCCTGTGGACACCTCATGGAATGGTTGAAGATCATGGAGCTTGAAGATCATCTCGTTCTAATCAGGGACACCTTCCACCATCCCAGCCTCATCCAAAACTGCTCTTGGAGACTTCCAGGGATGGGGAATTCACAATTTCCCTGTTCCAGAGCCTCAAGGATAAGCTTTCTCAGGAATGGTGTCTCGCTGGAACGCCAGTGGAAACCAAAGAGCAGCTGCCTCCAGCAGGAGATACTTTCACTGCTCTAAGAAACCCTAAAATTAACCCCCCACCCACCCACCCCAGACAAAGGTTCTCCATCTTCCCAGTGGGCATTTTGCCATCACATGGAGGTTGGACAGGGCTTGGAGCAACCTGGTCTAATGGGAGGTGTCCCTGCCCACGGCAGGAGGTTGGAATTGGACAATCTCAGAGGTCCCTTCCAACCCAAATCATTCTATGATTCCAGAGTTGCTGCCAAGATTCCCCACGCGGCACACGAGGAATCACCAAAACCAACTCCGGGGGGTGGGGTGGGGATCAGGCAATTCCCAACCTCCACATGGCTGGGGGACCTGGGGGGTGGGGCTGTGGGTACCTTATCAATGAAGTAGAGGGCCACTGCTCTTTGCCTGTTCTTCATCTCCTTGGATTTCCAATCCGCTCGGTACCGGGCCCGGATTTCATGGACCACGTCCTTCAAGCGCCGAGCGACCTCGTACTTCTGCCAGTCCTTCTCCCCCTTGGAAAAGGAGACCAAGACACTCTTCATTCTTTATTCCACCCCTCCCAGTCTAACCCTGCTCTGGGAACACCTCCAGCATCTAAATCCTGCTCCAACCCCCTTGTTTTCTCGAGGAAAAATCCACAAAAGGGAGAGGACCGGAGCAGGATCAGATCATCCAAGGTTTCTGTGCCCTCTGCTGGCTGAGCTGGATCTGGGATTGTGGCCAAGTCGAGGTGTTCTCCACCACGAGGGCACAGCGAGGAGTCTGAGGGGTCAGACACTGTGTGGTCACGGCCACCACTGCCTGGACACCCCCAGGGCTGTGCCCAGCTGGGATTCAGTGCCCTTGTTCGCTTGGAATTCTGGAAAAAGCCTGAAATCCCCTTTCCTTTCTTCCCAGGGCACTGCAGACCATGATCCCACCTTTCCCCATCTTCCACTTAAAAGTGAACTCAATTCCCCAGACTCTGGTCCCTGTGGACCTTCCCAGCTCCTGCCAGGCTTCCAACAGCCCTCCCTGGACACCCATGAGGAATGTGGTCCAGGGAATGTTGGATTAATGCTCCACAACCATCTGTCCTTTTCCCTTCACCACCCAACGACACACAAATCCCTTCATTTCACCCTGTCTTT